TTGGTTTTTCTCTGGTACCGGGAACCGAACTCACGACCTTGCGCTTGCCAGGCAGACGCTTTGCTGCTGAGCTAAATCCCCAGTCCCTTCACATTTTAGATTTAAAATGTATTGAATTCTTTTTCCCCTCTTCCTTTTTTTTTGGAAGCAGTACGGGTCACACTGAGCTACATCTCCAGATCTTTTTTTATGTTGCATTTTCAGATAAGGTCTTGCTAAGTCACTGTGTTGCCCACGTTGGGCTTGAACTTGCAATTCTCTTGCCTCAGCCTCCCACAGTCCTGGGATTCCAGACATGCACCAGTATACTCTGCTGCTTTTCTTCTTTTGTTCATATTCAGTTCATACTTTAATTTTTCTCTTATTTGGAGCAGTGGTCTTTTATTGTGTGTGTATATATATATATATATATATGAAAATTATTTGTAATGTAAAGTTATTACCCCTTTACATGCCATATAAAGTATGTCATGTACTTATACATGTTATTATGTCATATTGAATTTTATCTTTTTCTTAAAGTGTTTTTGCTTTACAGAAAGTTTAGACCATGGGGTAAGATTAAACATTAACCTTTATATTTCAATTTTTTGAGTCTTTTTACACTTTTTAAGTTCCTTGATCCATCTGAAATTTATTTTGGTGTATTCTATAGGGATGTGATATTAACTTTATGCCATTTTCTTGCATAGTTGCAATGATTCAAATTTACAGATTACTCTTAAAATTTAGCATGGTGGGTCTTAACTGTGGATGACATTGTTCCCCAGAGCATATTGGGCAAGTGAGACATTTTTGGTTGTCACAATTAGCAGTTGAAAAGGATGTGTGTGAGAGACTGATACCTAATAGCCAGAGATCAGGATGCTGCTAAATATCCCAGAGTGCATAAGACAGTTTTCTACCTCAAATAATTATCTGGCTCAAAATATCAATATCACTGAGTCAGGGAAAGCTTGTGATAAACCTTGGTGGAGTTAATAAATTCCATTTTGTTCTTGAGCTTCCCCCACTGCAAACAAGAATATCATTCCTTAAAGATAGCACACTTTATCCTCTCTTGACTTCTGGATTTCAGGGAGTTGTATGTGTATACATAGGTTATGTGCAAATCACCCTTCTGCACACCTGGGAACCTACTGTCTACCATAGAATGTGACACAGACAGCACTGAAGAAATGTGTGGACACCTAGGTTAACAGCAAGTAAGGAATCAAGAAACAAATGCAACATAAACATAAATTGTATATTAATAGAGTATAGTGTTGTTTTTCCTGTCGTGGGGCACTTGTTCTTCCTTAACAAGAAGAAACCAGAGCCTCTTCGGTTATCCACACATCAATTCTCTCCTGGAATATAAGACCAGCATCAAATAAGACTATGAACACTGGGGCCACATGCATCTGGGTTCAAATCCCAGCCCTGTTGTGCCCTGGCTATACTTGTGTGACCCTGGGTAAGGTCCTTCCTCACTGAGTCTTTGAGTTTGTTCCCATACAATGTGCATGACTGGCCTTTTATGCCTATATGTACAGTAGCCCTCTGTGCATGGGTTTCCCATCTGTGGACTCAACAAATTATGGATTGAAAATATTTTTTAAAAGATTGTACTGAACATGTACAGAACTTTTCCTTGTCATCATTCCCTAAACAATACAGGACAACAACCCTTTATTTAACGTTTGTATTTTATTTTATTAGGTATTATAAGTAATCTAGGGGATATTTAAAATATTTGTGAGCATCTGCATAGGTTATGTGCAAATGCTATGCTATCTTGTTGAAGCCTCCACATCCACAGATTTTGGGTTTGCAGGGACTCCTGGAACCAACCTCCTGAAGACATTGAGGGACAGCTGTAAACACCTAGCTCCATATCTAGAATGCAATAAATGCTCATCATACATCTCCATAGAGTCCCATCGGCATGTAACTAATGCTGGGGCTGTTTTTCTGCCCACTCTTCAGAAAAGCATAAAAGCATCCTAGATTCTCATGGGCCATGGCTTTGGCAAAGCTGCTGGGAACCCAGAAGCCAAGAAAAGAGCTCACCAACAAGCAACTAGCAGGGCTTTGTGTCAGTTAAGTTTTAAACATTTACCACAAACTCGTGAGTTAAGTAATTTTATTATCCCATTTTACAGATGAAGAAACTGGAGTATAGAGTGGCTCATCCTTTGCCCAAGGTCCCTCAGGTAAGGAGTACAGCTGGGGAGTGAGAGCCATGCACTTGACTGCTTAGTCTTGCTGCCTCTTTAGCTGGCAACCCCCTCAGCAGCTCAGTTGATGCTCTCCCTGCAAGCACCCTCCTTACCACACCCAGGGCTCTTCTTGTACCCTCAGAGCCACACTTTTGGATAGCATATGATGGGTTCTGGGGCAAAAGGGTTGGTGTTTCATTTGTGGTCTTTGTTCAGAGCAGCTGCCACCAGTTGACAGAAGTAGCTCTCTGATCAGATGTCATCATCCCCAAAGAGCTTGTCACTTCCCAGCATCCAGGAACTGTCCCCAAGGAGCTCAGATGGCAGCTGATGGGCTCTATGATGTGAGGAAATGCGTTTAGCCTTTCCTGCTTTAGCTGGCTGGGGAGGAGATTCAATTACACAGAATGCGCATCAGTTCTGCCAGGCCTGTCTTGTCATCACCAACTGCCTGACACAGCCGGCCAGAAACAAGCAGGCCACCTGCTGCAGCCTCATTAACCTAACCCTGTTAGTGCCCTCAGTTCCTCTTGGCTGCAGGACTGCTGGGCAGTGAGCTCTGTGCACCAGAGGGCTCCTTATCTAGGGACACTCTGTCTGGCTGAGCTGGAGGTGGTGCTGGTGTGGATGAGTGGGGCAGACGCTGTCAGAACTGGGCCTAGAAGAGGCCAGGGAGGCAGAAACTGGATTTGAAGGCAGTTTGGGCTCATTCCAAATCCCACACTTTTGAAATAGTTGTGATGGTATCAGGTTGCGTCTACAATGTGTTCCTGGGTTAAAACTTAGAGTATGTGCTAGAGACTCTAAGTTCCCCTTTCCACAAGACAGAAGAGTACTGAGTGTTTAGTCCTGAATATTTGGTTGGGGGGTTGTTCCTGGACCCTGTATTGCTGACCTATTAGAGGAAGAAGGAGGAGGAAGAGGAAGAGAAGAAGAAGAAAAAGGAGAAAAAGGAAGAGGAGGAGGAGGAGGAGAGGGAAAGGGAGAAGAAGGAAGAAAGTAGACAGCAAAGGGAAAGAGGGGAGGGGGAGGAGGGGAGGAAGAAGGAGAAGGAGAAGGAGGAGGAGGCGGAGAAGGAGCAGGAGCAGGAGAAGGAGCAGGAGCAGGAGCAGGAGAAGGAGAAGGAGAAGGAGGAAGAGAAGGAGGAGGAAGAGAAGGAGGAGGAAAAAGAGGAGGAGAAGGAGGAGGAGGAGAAAGAGGAGGAGAAGGAAGAAGAGAAGGAGGAGAAGGAGAAGAAGGAGAAGGAGAAGGAGAAGGGGAAGAAATGTCAGAGTCTTAGTCTCTCAAGCATGTGGCTTTGTGGAGTGGTTTGTGCCATAGTTGCCCCTCCATGCATGTAGGTAGGCTCCTGCCAGACATGCCATGCCTTTCTGTGTGGCAGATCTTATTCTCCTAAAAATGACCGCAGAAATATTTTCATTTCTGTCTATGCTTCCAGAACCTTGTTAGCGACACAGTTTATAGGCGGGGCCTACTTCCCCTTCCCTTGAAACTGCCGCAATGAGCAGAACCTGTCAGCAGAGGAGCCCAGAATCATCCTGAAAGGCTATCCACCTCCCACCTGCTCTTCTTTTCCAAGACAGGCCTCTAGAATGCAGCTTATGTGTTCCGATGAAGCTCGGGATGTGGGAGTGTGTGGCAGACTGCTTGCAAGGGCCTGTCTTCAGATGATGTCAGCCTCCGCCTCCACGCCTAGTGGAACAGAAACAAGCTACCCCTTCTGAGCCCTGCCTGGTTTGTAGATGTGTGAGTAAAATGGATGATATTACTCTTTTAAACTAGTAAGTTTTGAGGTATTTGGCTATGTGGCCATGGTAACTGGAGCATTCTGAGCTCATGGCTTCCAGGACAACCTGTCACAGTCACACACAGGGCTGCCACCCAGGTCAAACAGGTTGTGGTCTCCACAGGGTTCTGCTCACCAAACCTGCACTCAACTTGGGGATGCACTGGCTGGGCAAGAAGACCTTTTGTAAGTGGTCTTCCCAGGGAGGACTAGGACACCGAAGGACCAGCTTCTTCTTTGCTCTCAGGTCTCAAATCTCTAGAACACTTTTCCTGGCAGTGAACAAATCTAATACTTTTCAATTCCCCCCCATTTGTCCTGATCCTATTGTCTGCAGAATTAAAGTAGTTCCTTTTTGGTGTCTTGATGGTTGAAGATAGTTCCCAAGGTTTCCCTGGGTTCTTCCTTCATCTGGTTAAAACTTTACCATTCTTCTGGCCTTTCTTGTTAGGAAGAAATGTTCTTGGGTCCTTCACCATCCTGGCTACCCTCTTTCTTGGGAGATCTCTGGCAGTCAAGCTCCACACTGAGCACCTCTCTCTAGGACACTGACTCTGGCCGGCACTGCAAATTAAGCACTCGGCAGGTTTCTTGGTGGTATTTGCACCTTTTGGAAAAGTCAATTCACTCAGGCACCCAGCACTGGCTCCTGGAGAGGAACAGTCTCTGTTCCTGGGGCCTGTGGTTGGGAACTCTTTGCAACCCAAAGGACAGAGACCACTCCCTGTGTCTGGCTGGCAGGGCCAACCTGATGCCATGGCTGCCTGCAGTCACCCTGTGTTGTCCCTCTCTACCACCTGAGGGAGGGACTAGGCCTGCATCTTCCTGTAATGCCAGAACTCTACAGCAAGAGCAGCAACTATCAGTTCCATCTCATTTCTCAGCTCATTCTCTTTCTCTCTCTCCCTCCCTCCCTCTTTCCTCCCTGCCTTCATGCTGAGCTATATCCTTCCAGACCTTTTTTATTTTTTCTTTTGAGACAGGGTTTGCTAAGTTGCCCAGGCTGTGCTCAAATCTGGGATCTTTCTGCCTCAGTCTCCGGAGTGTTGGGATTCCTGGCATGCACCACCGTGACTGGCTGAAAAATATTTTCATTGCCTCGGTGCACACCCTGGACTCAATAAGTGGTTATTTTCCATCCCTCTCCTCTTTCATTCTCTGGCAGTCACCAATTTATTTTCTGTCTCTTTGGATTTTCATATTATAGATATTTCATAAAGGTGAAGCCATCCATATTTGGCTTTCTGTGCTTGGCTTCTTTTATTTACAATGATGTTTCGAAGTTCCTCTGCACAGCAGCATCTCTTTTTATCCCTGCCCAATCAGACATCCTGGCCCCCATGCTTGGTTCCTGCTCTCTGCTTTCTGATTTGGGTAACCTTAAAATTGTCACTGGGTCTAGATACTGGAGGCCAGCAAACGCAGAACATCGTCTAGAGGGTCCTGCATCGATCTCTCTGTTCTGGTCTTTCCCACCAACATTTCAAGCAGGGCCAGCAACCCTTTCACTCCCAGACTGCCTTCCAACACCCCATAGTGTCTGGCCATTAGAAGAGAGGTCAGAGCCTTGGCCACTTCTAGCTCTGGAGGTAGCCCAGTTCCTGCTGGGCAGATATGAGTGTTGCCGCCAGCAGGAGCTAGGGTGATGCTTGTTTAGAATACCTGAGGTCACTGCTCAACCATCAGATGATGCAAAGAGGAAGAGGATGGCTGTGAGAGAAGAGCAAGCACTTCTAGGGTTCTAAAGATCTCTCGCCTCTGCTCACCTCTCACAGACCTCTGGGTAGTTCTTTTTTGGCCTTTGTTTTCATTTTTCACTTCTCCCTTGGTCTCTGTCTCCTCCAAGTGCCTCCAGCTTGCGCAAGGCAAAAGCCAAAGGCCTTTCAAGGCTAACAAGTGTGCCAGTCTCATTTTCTTTCTCTTTCCCAACTTCTAACCTTATCTTGATGTTTCTTGATAATCCTGGGGCCCACAGCTGCTTTAGGACCTTTGCATTTTCTCTTCCCATTCTGCCCCCAGATATCTGCACTTTGCTTCCTCAATGCCTTTACTTAGACATTATTTGTCACTCTTTTTTAAATTCTATCACTTCCTCTTGTCTTTTTATCTGAGTTTTTCCCTTAGAATTAGTCAGTCACTAGTGTGCATCTGTGTTGTTGCTACTGTTGATTTTCTGTTTGGTCCACCACTGTACACGCAGTGCCAAGCACATGGTAAGTGATGATAAATACTTGCTGCAGCTCTCTACTCCTGCTCAGGGGACATGAAGTTTTGCTGGGGTGTCTTCTCCCACCCTGAATATGGAGGTGAACTTGAACATACCTGTCCTGATCCTGATATTGTGGACTTCAACACAGGTGTGGCCATCACTGGCTTCACTTTGGCCAGGGGTCTGGCCAGGCAAGTCTGGGGAGAGCAGGTGTTTGACTGTGGACTTTAACCCAGTCTGCAGGAAAAGGCAGCATGATATGAACAAGTGAAACTTGAAGTTCAAGAGTAAACTTCCTGGGCAGCAGGAGCTAGTTGACCTAAGATTGTTCTGAGGGTTGTAGTCCTCTGACCAGAAATGCCAGGGGATGGGCTGGGCTTTGGGAGATTTTCCTGGGTCCTGATAACTGAACAAGAGTGATGCCCAGGGTCTAGTAATAGCAGAGGAGACCTATAATCCTAGAGGGGCAAAGTGGGAACCTGGAAAACTTTGGATTTGGGTATGCATTATCTCAACAACAAGGGAGAGTCTCTGGGGAGAGCAGACTGTGTTCCTTATATACTGCAAAGTTGTCAGGTGTGTGTGTTTGTGTGTGTGTGGCTGTGTGCCTATGTCTCTATGTGTATACCTGCTTGTGTGTCCATGTGTGTGTATCCCTCTGACTGTATGTGTTGAGGAAATGCAGATCAGAGGGACAGTTCTGGGTTTTTCCTCTGTGACATTCAAGACAATATCTAGAGTGCGTGGTGTTTTATTGCCAGTACAGCTCTCCGACACGTAATTGTTTTATATCCTTCTGTTTATTTCTCTAACACTGCTTTTCAGCCTTGACTGCACATTAGCCCTTGTTGGGCTTCATACAATGCTGGCACGGTATGTCTGAACACCAGGTCAATCAGGGTTTGACCTGTGTCCAGGGTACCATGTATCTCTGAAGCTCGGCAGGTAACTCTACTCGCAGCAGGTCGGCGCTACCCTGCTTTATCTCCTGTGGGGTGTGCATCGAGACACTTCAGGGAGGATTGCGGGAAAATGTCCTGAACCTCGAGCCTGCAGCTTTCACACCTGGCTCCGTCATTACATTGTTTTCGGCCTTTGGCAGGTTACTGTGTCTTTCTGCTCCTATTTGTATTTTGGTGAGATAGGAAAATTACACCTTCCTGCTTACCTCCTGTTCATAAGGCCATATGTATGAAAAGGCTTACTGGAATTTTTGTTAGCCCTTTATAAAGAGCAAAAAATAAGGCCAAAGATGAGCATACAAATACAGAAAGGTTGTAGTGAAAGAAAAGCAGAAGCAGGTACTGATGTGGTCCTCTGATTTAATTTTGCCCTACTAGCCAAAGCCAAGGCCACCCATGCTTGTAATTCCATGATCTGATACTAGGTGGCGCCTGACTCATGGCCTGGACAGTCAAGATAACCTCTTGGTGACTCTTTTCAGCACCCTTTGGTTAAAACACGATTATATACTGAAAGAATCACCTAGTTCAGAGTTTAAACATCCTTCTTACATTATCTCTGCACAGTCAATTGGTGAGTTTCATTCTGTCCAAGGCTCATTCTTCTCTTTCCACCTTTCTTGGTACATCTGACTATTGTAATAAAAACCCTTATTCTTGGGCCTGAAGGTGGCCCTGATCACTCTGATTTCAGAGCAACATCAAAAAGCTTTGTGGCTGGCAGTGAACCAGGGAGGAGGCCCGGTTGGCTCCTCTGCAGACTTAATTAGCGCTTGAGCTGCTCTTTCTGTCAATCCGGCCTCCACTCTCCTCCCTCCTTCTTGCTTTGAAGGGAGAGAATCTCATTTTCTGCTCCCAGGGGCCCATTCTTTGCAAGTCATTTTAGCTGCCTTCCGTTCCTGTGATCAAGAGAGCGAGATGTAGATGTCATGGAGGGTAATTGTAAAAGCTGACTGACACTTTTCTTACTGCAATTAAGGAAGTCCGCAGTTTGGTAACTAAGCTAAGTCATTCATTCCCTCTGTCTCTGAAACTCATTCTTGGGTACAAGTTGCTATACATAAAAGAACTCAGTACCTTCCTAGAGCCAATCCAGTGACTTACATGAGGTTTTCTAATGTGAATCTAAGGTACTTTTTATTGTTTTTGTCTCTTCTCTCTCAATGTTTTAAACCATATCTGAAATACACAGTTGTGGGTGTTATGGGTCACTTGGTGTAAATACATATAGAATTTTTGCAACATTGCACACGAAACAATCACAGTGCTGTCTCTAGGGAGGAGATTAAGAATTGAGCTGATTTGTGTTCTCATTAAAATCCAAGGCAGGAACGACCAGGGGCTTCTCAGGCGGGTCAGTGCCATCTTATCTTTGCTTACCAGACCGTAAAGAATTAATAGGCAGAGGAACAGGGACTGTCCTTACTTTGTGGTTTCACTAGCAGTCTGGGTCCCCAGCTATTCTTTTTATAGGTTTATGGGGACAGAGAAGATAGGTTTTCCAGATGAGATACTCAGATAGGAACCAAAGAAAGAGGGCATTGAGCAAATTGCTGAGTGCTCAGGGGAGGCGGAATGGGAACCCCTTCCAGGCAGCACATGGGAGGAAAAGATGGTTTGGTGACTGTGGGCAGAGGGAGGGGGTTGGTCAGAGTGAAGGTGGACTGTGTAGCTTCTGGACACTCGAAGAAAGGCCCCTCACTCTGGCCTTTTCTTAGGTCATTTCTTCCCAACTGTGTACACTTCTTGTCCCTTCTTGGGCAAGTTCTCTGGGACCATCACCCACCCTCCTGGAAATCCCTCCTTACAACACCCTGTGGCCTCTTTCCTCTTCTCTCTAGAATCTCCCTTTCCACCTCTGAGAAATCCTTCCTTTTCCAGAGGCGTCTTTCCGTCTCTCTCTGTCGACTCTAAGATCGTTGAACTGATCCTAAATCAAACACCCAATCTCTTTTCTCTCAGTGTATTCATCTCGTAGCCCTTTTCACCGAAGCAAAGATAAGTAGCAAAAGCAA